AACCCTTTAGGACAAGAGAGTGCAAAAGGCGGTTTAAGGTGAGGACTAAGAGCCCATGCGTTGGTCCAACAGCTGGTACGTGGGGCAAAGTTTGGCTGTCTTGAATTGCTCCTGGAACCGACCTGGCAATTCTCTGTCTTGTTATCCTTGCATATTGCCTTTCATCTCTTACCTCTGTTATCGAAGTCCTTATCCCACAACAGCACCAGGGACGAGTTCTGTATTGTGCTGCATTTGCATCCAAGGGGAGAAAATAAGCCTTTTCAAAACCGAGATCTCGTTTTACTCACATGGGCCTCCTAAACACGACGGGTGAGCCCTGAAGGCCACCACCCCGCAGTGCGATGGGGAGAGCAAGGGCTTACCCACGTGTGCGGAGAACGAAACGCAGACCCCGGCCATCGGCAAGGCTCTGGCAGGGAATGACGACAGCAGCAGCCTCCGATGGCCGATTCCCCCCCACCCCCGGACCTCCACCTGCTGAACCTCTCACACTCCGGTCACCTCCCACCCCATCAGCCTGAAGACCCTCTTGGCCTCCCACTCCATCCTGGCATCGCCTCTCACAGTAAACCCCCTGGGGCCTCCAACTCTGTAACATCATCTTCCGTGGCCTTAGCTCCTGTCGTTCCCCCCCCCCGCCGTGGAATCTGCTCCAATGGCCTCTGGTCTCATGGTCAGTTCCCGTGCTCTCCTGCCCCACGGCCTCAGCTCCCGTAGTCTCCAACACCACAGCCCCAGATACCACGGTATCGTTAGCATCCCGATCCCTCTAAACCTCCAAAAGTCTTTCGGTCCCAGAAGCCACGTCAGCCCACACGTGCGCCCACCCTCAACTCTTCCTCAGCCTCCTGCCCACTTTTGGCCTCCACCCTTGCTCAGCCTCAACCCTTCCCTGGTCTCCCACCCCTGCTCGGCCTCAATTTCTCTTCGGCCTGCATCTCTGCCCAGACTGATCTCTACATCAGCTTCCCCCAGTCTCTCAGTTTCCATTCCAGCTCGGCCTTACTCTTTCTTGCCCTCCCAATGTCTTTCAGCATCTCCTCTTGCCCTGCCCTTTCAGTCTCCCCCAGTCTCCACTTGTATTCTCGCTCACCCTCCGCTCCTGCTCCTCCTCACTCTCCTCTTCAGCCTCCCTCAGCGCTTTGCCCTGTCCCTGTTCTCCGTCAGCCTCCAGTTTGTGCTCGCCCTCGCAGAGTCTCACGGCCTCCCCTCACCCTCCACTCCCACTATGGCCTCCTACACCAGTACGTCCTCCACTCCCACTGGGCCTCCCACTCCTGCCCAGCCTCCCCCCGCCAGCTTGACCTCCCACTCAGGCTCGGCCTCCCCAGCACCAAAAACGCTGACTCTTTCCTTGATTTCCCCTCCCCACGGCCTCCCCCTCTCAGCCTCCGCAGGGCGAAGGGGTTTCGCACTTACCCTGGGGCAGCACCACCATGTCCCATCGTCATCATCGTCGC